TGCCATGGGGTCAGTTCTGACTCATATCGTCTCTGTATAGGGTTTCAGAGACTTTTCAACGTTTGCAGCAGCAAAAAGCATCATCTTATAGAATCATATATTTTCAGAATTGAAATAGACTTTGGAGGTGATTATTGTGGACATTCTGGCTGATCCCCATTGTGGAAAAACTAAGGACTAGAGGAAGGCCCAGCAAGTTAAATAAGGTCCACTTCCTGATTTTGTAGGGTTTGTGAGCTAAGGTGGTTGGAAAAATATTAACAATTTGTGTCATGTGAAAGTTACATGAAATTCAGGTTTCAGTATCTAGAAATAAAATTTTATTGGAACACAGCCAAGCTCATTTTTGTACATGTTTTCTATAGCTGTTTTCATGCTACAAAGGCAGAATTGAGTAGTCGTGACAAAGGCCATATGGCCTGAAAAACCTAAAATATTTATTATTTGACCCTTTACTGAGAAAGCTTATCTACCTTTGACTTATAAAACTGACCTCAGGGTGATAGGCTTGATTAATCTCAGCCAATCATAGGAGTCTTACTTCCTTAGTTGGTGATTGTTTCAGAATGGGCAGGGGCTATGTCAGTTGAATGTAAGAGAATTTTATTTCTGGGCAGCGGTAAAAAGAATTTTTCAGAAAAGTTCACAAAAATCCAAACAATCTATATCTTACTGAATAAGTGCAAAGACATTTTTCCTGGTTCTTTTTCTTAGCCATCTTATGATATAAGGAAAATCAGCCTGAGTTTAAAAATTATACACAGAAAATCACAGGGAAATGGATTTAGAGCAAACCTTAACTTTGGTCTTTCTGTTATGTTGTCAATAAAATTGATCATTTTTGTTAGTTTGATTTGGCTTTCCTGTTACTGATAAGTCCTGCTTTGCTTCCACTTGGTTTTATATTATAAAATGCATATTTAATTAAAACTTTAAAGAAAAGCCTCTACTCAGAAACAATTACTGAGGTCTCAATATTCCACTCTGGTAGCGTTGTGGTTACGAATCGGGCTGCGAACCGGAAGGTCAGCAGTTCGAAACTACCAGCTGCTCCGCAGGAGAAAGATGAGGCGATCTGCTCCCGTAAAGATTTACAGCCTCGGAAACCCTATTCAGGGTCGCTATGGGTCGGAACCGACTCGACGGCACTTAACAACAACAACAACAACAATATTCCACTTGGCATATCAAATGTCTTATGTCATGAGGTCATTAGTCCCGGTAATAACATATGAGAGAAATATTATTATCTCCATTTTTCAAAAAGGGTACTGAGGTTCTCCAACTTTACAAGTCATGTAGTAGAGTTTCCCAAACACTTTTCCCTTTTACACTGAAGGAAAAAAATATTTGTTGGGGAACATTCTGCTAATTTGAAACTTTCCATGTACTGAATAGAGAAATGGAAGAAATGCATGCCAATTGCAATCTGCCTGACCGAAGGAATTAGTGCCTTGGAAAAAACAGATAGAGTTACTATTTCATAATCAGAAATCTGATTAATTACACTGGCATTTATTAAGAAAAGTCTTTACATTACAAGAAACTTAAAATGCCTTTACTTAGCCAGTTATTTTCTTGACATTATATGACAACTTTTTTACTTTGTATGTGGTGATGAATATCAAAGACTACAGCCTTCAGTATGGATTGGATTTAAATGTAAAGAAAACAAATTTCCTCACAACTGGACCAATCCTGATAAATGGAGAGAAGGTTGAAGTTGCTAAAGGCGTCATTGTGTTGGATCCACAATCAATACTCCTGGAAGCAGCAGTCAAGAAATCAAATGAGAGACTGACAATCAACCTGATTGCTGGAAGTGCAGGGCTGGAATGGCGCTTGAGCGGGCCTGGAAACAGATGTCCTGGTTCTACTACCAGTACCTGCTCATCACGGTGCTCTACATGCTGGAGCCCTGGGAGTGGACAGTGTTCAATTCGATGCTGGTTTCTGTTGCGGGGATGGCACTGTAGCTACGTCTTCATGCCACAGCAAATCATGGGGATATTGCACTACTTTGAAATCGTACCATGATCACCATGTGACCAAGATCCAGAGACTCCTGAAGAACCACTCTGAAGTTGGAATGGGACATCATCAGATGTCAAAAGAAAGTACTAGATGTCAACATAAGCAACCTGATGAATATGAAGGCTCAAATTCATGAGTAGGACAGGATAATAATCCTAACTCGTGTTGTGTTCTTTATTCTTAATTTTAAAAGAGGCTCTTGTATGGTAATTTTTGTCTATTTTAACATTGTAGTCATTTGTGCTTTAATATCAGTATTTTCTTAATCTTTGTGACTGTTTCAGTATTACC